ACAGCTCCTCTTCACTTTCAGTGTCACTCTCACGATTGTTATCCACCTGTGTCACACTTGTCCCCCTAATCCATTTCTCTGTTTTCTTTTCACAGATCGTGCTCTTGTCTCCGGTGGTGCCAGATGATCCATTGATTCTGCAGGAGCTGTCAGTCTCACATCATCCCCGATTGGTAGGATATGGTCTCGGTGCAGAGTTCTTACACTTCCCATTCCACTTAAAGGTTTCAGGCGATACACAGGTAAGTTTTTCATCTTTTCTACCACCAGGTAAGGAACTGAATTCCACTTGTCACCAAGCTTATTCTTCCCAGTCACCGCAAGGTTTCTTATCAACACACGGTCTCCGACAGCCAAAGTCTGGTGTTTCACTTTTCTGTCGTACATTCGCTTGTTTCTCTGCTGACTCTTCTGGGCAGTTTCCATTGCTAGCTGATAGGCTCTTTCCAAGTCCGATTTCATCCTTTCCACATACTGTCGATGGTACTTGGCTCCCTTTCCATCAGGGAAAGTTCCGAAACACACATCCACTGGCAAGCGAGCCTCTCTTCCGAAAAGAAGATAGTATGGCGAGTACCCAGTTGATTCATTCTTAGTGCAGTTGTATGCGTGTACCAAGCGATTGATGTGTTTACTCCATCTGCTTTTTTCTGCAGAATTCAGTGTCCCAAGCATGGAAAGGAGAGTTCTGTTAAACCTTTTGGGCTGTGGGTCCCCTTGTGGATGGTACGGTGAGTTTCTGGATTTCCGGATTCCAAGCATCTTCAGCAGTTCCTTTATGAGACCACTCTCGAAATCTCGCCCCTGATCTGAATGAATACGAGAAGGTAAGCCATAATGGATGAAGAACTTGTCACAGAGGGTCTTTGCCACAGTCAGAGCTTTTTGGTCTTTGCATGTGAAAGCTTGTGCGTAGCGGGTGAAATGGTCTGTTACCACAAGAACATTGCCAACGCCTCTGGAATCAGGCTCGAGACAGAAAATCTATGCAAACAAGGTCGAATGGCCCGCTGCTGGTCATGTGGTTCAGTGGAGCAACCTTCTTGGGCAAAGTCTTTCATGCAATGCAACGGCCACAATTTTTGACATACTGCTCAACCTGCTTGGACATCCTGGGCCAATAAAAGCGATCTTTCAGGAGTTCGGCAGTTTTCTCCACCCCCAAATGTCCTAAGTCATCGTGCAGGGAGCCGAAGTACCTGAGTCCAGTACTTTTCGGGAAGGACGAGTTGCAACTTTTCTCTTCCAGAGGAACTCTGGGTAACTCGGTACAGAAGTTGATTCTGAATCTTCAGCTTGGAACCCTGTCACTGTAGCAGAGCAACGGACTCATTGGAACTCTTAATGGAGGTAATTATTTTTCCTGACTCTACATCTCACTTGACTTCACCAATGATAGGATCCTCTTCTTGCGCTGTCTTTAACTCTGAACTAGTCAGCTGTTCCATTGGGCTTAGACTCAGCGTGGTGGGACAGGCATAAGCCTCAGGAATACTCTGAGGGGAAAGACCTAGTTGATCCGCCAGTCTTGATGACTCCTCACTCTCAGAAACACCAGCTAACTGGCAGATGGCTCTTACCGCTGAATTGGGTATTTCCTTCCATTCAGAGCACTTGGTTGGTTCCCAGGGGTAACGAGACAAGAAGTCTGCATCGATGTTATGGCGTCCGGGTTTGTACTTTAAGCTGAAGTTATAGGTAGCCAATGCAGCTAACCAGCGATGACCTGTGGCATTCAGCTGGGCACTTGACAGCACATAAGTAAGTGGATTGTTGTCCGTCCTTATCGTGAACTGGGCTCCGTATAGGTAGTCGTGGAACTTCAGCGCCAAGAACTACAGCTGATGAACTGGGTATCGTCTCTCTGAGCCACTCAGCTTCCGGCTTGCATAGGCTACTGGCCTGAGCCCTTCAGGATGTTCTTGATTCAGGACAGCGCCTAGTCCATTCATGCTGGCGTCCACGTGTAGGACATACGGATTGATGGGGTCTGCAAAAGCGAGCACAGGGGCATGGGTGAGGCAGTGAATGATTTGGTTGAAAGCTGTGGTACAGGTGTCATCCCAGCGCTCTCCAAAAGGATCTGAGTCTTTGAAGTAGTGCTGGCCATCTACGGGTTTCTTAGTTCGTCCAGATGTTGGTGGGTAACCTTTGGTAAGTTCCGTCAGAGGCCTCACTATGGCAGAGTAATTTGTTAAGTTCCGTGAGAGGCCTCACTATGGCAGAGTAATCCTTTATGAATCGCCGATAAAATCCACAGAATCCGAGGAAAGATCTCAGGGACTTTAGATCCGTCTGCATTTTCCACCGTGTCACAGCTTCAATTTTTTCAGGATCTGGTGACACTGCAGCCGCTGACACAATGTGACCCACATAACGCACTTTAGACTGACAGAACTGGCATTTGTCAATTGACACTTTGAGACCACATTCTTGCAGACGATCCAATACTTTCAACAATCTCTCTTCATGTTCTTCAAGCGTGCGTCCGAACACAATGATGTCATCGAGGTAGACTATAACTTGTAGGAGATGCATATCGCCAACGGCTTTCTCCATCAGCTGCTTAGTCGTGGAACTTGTCCACCACAGCCCACTTTCAGCGCCAAGAACTCCAGCTGATGAACTGGGTATCGTCTCTCTGAGCCACTCAGCTTCCGGCTTGCATAGGCTACTGGCCTGAGCCCTTCAGGATGTTCTTGATTCAGGACAGCGCCTAGTCCATTCATGCTGGCGTCCACGTGTAGGACATACGGCTTGATGGGGTCTGCAAAAGCGAGCACAGGGGCATGTGTGAGGCAGTGAATGATTTGGTTGAAAGCTGTGGTACAGGTGTCATCCCAGCGCTCTCCAAAAGGATCTGAGTCTTTGAAGTAGTGCTGGCCATCTACGGGTTTCTTAGTTCATCCAGATGTTGGTGGGTAACCTTTGGTAAGTTCCGTCAGAGGCCTCACTATGGCAGAGTAATCCTTTATGAATCGCCGATAAAATCCACAGAATCCGAGGAAAGATCTCAGGGACTTTAGATCCGTCTGCATTTTCCACCGTGTCACAGCTTCAATTTTTTCAGGATCTGGTGACACTGCAGCCGCTGACACAATGTGACCCACATAACGCACTTTAGACTGACAGAACTGGCATTTGTCAATTGACACTTTGAGACCACATTCTTGCAGACGATCCAATACTTTCAACAATCTCTCTTCATGTTCTTCAAGCGTGCGTCCGAACACAATGATGTCATCGAGGTAGACTATAACTTGTAGGAGGTGCATATCGCCAACGGCTTTCTCCATCAGCTGCTGGAACGTGGCTGTTGCTCCAGTAATGCCATGGGGCATGCGATCGAACTGGAAGAAACTCAGAGGGCAGATGAATGCTGTCTTCTCTTTATCTTCCTTCGCCATGGCTATTTGATAATATCCACTACGAAGGTCCAACACGGAAAACCACCTACTACCTGCCAAACACTCCAGAGCATCCTCAATCCTGGGCGTGGTGTACTGATCTGGGATAGTCCTTGCATTAAGAGTTCGGTAGTCGATGCACATTCTTATTGCCCCACTTTTCTTCCGTGCAATTACAATGGGCGATGCATATGGACTCCTTGACTCCGGGCGATGCATACGGACTCCTTGACTCCTTTATGATTCCTGCTGCCAGCAGTTCTTTGATGTGACGTCTCACGTCACCGATATCCGCAGGAGCGATGCGTCTGGAGCGTTCTCTGAAAGGTTTGGTATCTTGCAGCCGAATGTGATGTTCAACACCTTGGGCTAATCCCACATCCCATTCATGTTTTGAAAACACATCTCCTCTGGTCGACAGCTTCTGTCTCAGTCTCTTTTCCCAGGCCTCAGGGAGTAATGATTCACCAAAGTCAAACAGCTGGGGATCAATTACGGTTGAGCTCTGGCCTCCGGAAGTGGTAGTGAGTGTGTCTGTGGGATACACATTGGCGATTACTGTTCCAGCAGGAATGGAGATATCTCTGGAGGTTTCATTGTGCACCAGTACTTTGACGTTCCTATCTTCAACAGCAGAAAGTGACAGTATCACTGGAGTTATGAACAGTCCAGCTGGCAAACTATCCTGCACAGGTCCGTCCACAACAAGATCTCTCTCTTCAATGGTTTATCTGTCTCCATTTTACACACTGTGCATATCTCTCCCCTTGATGGAACAATGCAGTGTCCAGGCCCCATCCACTTGAGTTTTCCCTCAGGTTTGTCAGAGAGGTGCTCAGTCTCGGATTCTTGAGGAATGTGGATTTCTGAGTGACGAGTCTAGATTTTCAGGGAATGTGCAACACGGGATCCTTCAAGCTCTCGGCTCAGGGCAGCAAGACGTTTAAAGAAACTTGCATTGGTACCAATTATGACAGGCAGCTGTGAGGGACCTTGGGGTTCTGGGCATACCAGCGCCAAGATGGACAGTGACTCTTCCACACCAGTGACGGAGGCAGGGAACGTGACATCCACTACAATGTAGCCCTTGTAAGGATAGCTGGAAGAACTGAGGTCCCATATGGATAGGCCAGTTAACGAGTGAATGGGCACATCTCTCAGGTTCTTGGAATACCAGCTTTTAAACACTATGGTCACTTGTGAGCCGCTGTCTAAAAGAACTTGACATAAACAGCCATTGAGCTTCACTTCCACAGTCGATGCTGGACCCACCAGTCCTTTGGGCAGACCACCTGACTCATAGACCTCTGTTTGGCTCCTTTTAGAGAAACATACTTGGTATGAATTCTTTTCACGGTCACCCGTTTCATCAGGCTTTCCACTCTTGGCCCTTCGTAGAGAGTGAACCAGCTTCTGAATCACCTGATCAGTGTTTGGAGGAGATTGACACTTGGTGGCTATATGGCCGTCTTCGCCACAGCGGTAGCAGAAGTAATCCTCTTTGTTTCTTGTTGGCTTGAATCTAGACGATGCAGAAACTGTCGGGGACTGAAGGGATTTAGGTTGCTGTTCAAGAACCGGGGGTGACTGCTGAGTATGACTGACACTCATAACTGCCAACTGTTGCTGCAGCTGTTGAACTTGTCTTCTCAGCTCCCAAACTTCCGAATCATCAGCTTTCTCAGTCCGCTTGAATGGCTTTTCTTTAGCTTTAAGCACCATGGATGACGTTGCCACAGTTTTGAATTCACCTCCACATATGTGTGCCCTCAACTCCTGAATCTCCGACTTAAGTTCTTGAAGGACGGAGCGGCTAACTCTTTCATCCTCATGAGATTGTATCGATTTGGCTTTTGCAGTCATCCTATGTCGGGCTGCTTCATTTTCCTCAGCCTCACGTATCTCCTTCAACAGACTCAGAAAAGAGGGTGGGCGTTCTCTTCGTTCGCGGAGCCCTAACTGAAGCAACATCATATCTGAATGCACAGCACCCCTGATCAGCTGTTCCACACAAACTTTATCCACCAGTCTGGGAGACAATCCATCACGTTCCACTACTTTGTTAAGGGCTTTATCAATCCGTCTTAGGAACTCCGATAGAGCCTCACCCGGATTTTGACGCATCAAACGAAGCTTGAAGTGCAAGTCCTCCCCAGACTCTGATGATCCGAAGGTACTCTCTAATGCCTCCAAATACTGCAATGCACTTGCCTCAGGATTGGAGAAACAAACAGCTCTTATTATTTCCAATGCCGGCCCTTTGACACTTTCAATAACTCTGCGTCGTTTTTCTTTTTCGGAGCACTCGCACTCTGTTATCATTAAACAGGCTTGTTCCATCCAGTTCTCCATATTTTCTTCTCCCATGGATGTTGCCATTATGGCAGAGAAGGTACGTAATTGTCTGTACGCACTGCTGTCTCCAGAGGGCTTTGCAGTCTTTTCCAAGATCTCCCCCACTGCGCGTATTATGGATTCAGGAGACCCATCGGCTGAGCTGCGTGGAGTAAAGAGAGCGTGTATATCTGCTAATGACTTTCCTTCTCCCATCAGGAACTTGGTAAGCTTTTCAGTAAATCCTTCAGATGGAGCGTCAGGTAAGGTTTCTTTTGCACGGACTACTACGACAGTCCAGGGCCCACCTGTTTCATCAGGAGTCACTTCAGGGGGTATGCGTGTGGCGTCAACAACTTGTTTGCACTCGCACAACACCAGCATAGTATGTGAGGTAGGTCCTTCCCTTGTGTCTCTTACACGAATTCTTCCAAGGACTTTTACACCTTGCATTACATCTTCAATAACCGCTACTTCTGTGTCTGCAGGTACATTGAACAACATCACAGCATGCGTCTCGTGAATGCCCGCATCCTTACACCAGCTGGTTAACTCTGCTTGTAGAGAAGGGTGTTTTCCCAGAGCCATCTTGAGTGTTTATTTAACCACTGTTACTTAGAATGCACTGTTAATGAGTACTTGAACACGTTCTTGTTCTTCTGGTCTTTCAGGGAGTTTGACGTATCAGAGAGGAGTGATCCCGGATGAGCCCCCACTTTATGTAGCACCCCCTACCTTTCTGAAGTGGAATTTTGTAAGGAGCAGCACCAGGTTCAGAAACTAAATGCCGTGTGATGTTGGATTAAGGCCCCCTCTCTGACTACACTGTACCCTTTTTTCCCTTGCTAGGTTTGTTGTCTGAATAAAGATCTCTTTAACCTACTTTTGTATCTGGGTCCTACTTCAATAAGATGTATCCCCAAATATAATAATACTCACAAACAAATAAAAAGAGAATTTAACAAATAAAGATGAGTAATTTAATGAAATAGTAATTTGAAATGATAATGAAAATTAAACAAAATACTCAGATGCTCAAATTAGAGGAATTACTGAGTTACAATATACCTGAAATCAAGTATCACCCAACAAATGTTACACTTATGGCAGTGCACACAGTTTAGCAAATGAAACGGTAAATGTTTGGTTAGTTTCAACTATGACAGAGTCCTTAAATAAGCAAATAACTCAAACTTAACTCTGCAAAAAATATACTCTAAGCAACCAGTGTATCAACAGAATTAAACAGTAATATCAGCGGGCCCACACAATCACACACACACACACACACACACACACAACCCCGCAGGCCTGTGTCGTGGCTAGAGCCTTTGTTCTTTTGTCGATCGCGATCCGTATGAGCACTTAATAACGTGACTCTCCTAGGAAGCAAAAATTGTCCCTCGTCGCCGGAGGAACACCCAACGTTTCCGGTGGCTGGGTGCGCTATCCGGATGATGACCGTCGCTCTCTCCCTCGTAGCCAGAAGACTCGCTCACCTTTCGGATTTCAAAAGCGCTTTTCACGGTCCCCGATGTCCCACGAAGAAACGTCCCACGACAGAACACAAACGGCAGCGAATGTGTGAAACAGTTTTTAACACGCACCTCAGTATATGCGATGAAATGTGCGAGCTGTCTCGGTTAAAGGCAGCGATGTCTCGAGTACTCAGTATAACTCCGAGAAACTCAATGTTAACCCATACTGTGAGCTAACTGTATCTCAGAAGTCCAATAACGAATATACTCAGTTTTAAACAAAATTAAACAAAATAAAATCACGTTTTTCCT